TAATCTACAACAAATCTCGAAAAAGTTACCATAGATTCAGCGTAACGTCCTCGATAGTACTACATTTATGATTTAATAGGTGCAAAGGTAGACCTTGTGGGTGACTCATTCATTCATAGCCATTCGTAAGATACGTAAAACATGATTTTATCTTTTTTATTTTTATTATAAATGTCAGTGAACGCTTAGGTATACTCATATATTACAAAAACTTGGCATAAATATTTGTTTTTGAAACTGAGAGTCCACTAAGACCCACATTTTTAACTTGTTGTAGGTCCTTTACCTTTAAAATGTATATACCTATATTACCTTGTACATTCCCTACCCTTTTAATTCTAAGATATATATGATACTTTAGCAAAGGTTTAAAAAATATAACATACTTAAAAAAAATTAAATTGGATTTATAACCTTATTTTGTTACAAATGCGTCATTTAGGAACCTTATTGTGACATTTAAGAAACCTTTTTGAAAAGCAAAAAGAATATTTTTCCTTACAAAACCGTTTTTAAAAAATAATCTGAGAAAATGCGATTCGTTATTTAAAATTTATTGTTTAATAAAATCTCTTAGTTTTAATTTCAATATGAATAAACATTTATAAAAATAAAATTTATTATTTCAATAAGATAAACACATTAATCATTAAACAATCACCTATTCAAGCATTAATTATTATTTTCCTACAAGTATTGACAACCCAACTTCTGCGAAGAGTTAATAAAACTCTAAAGCGATATTATCCTCACCTGACACCTTTAAATCTAAAAGTCCAATTAGTTCCGGTCTTTTAAATAATATGGAATTGATTACCGCTATCTTTTATCTTAAAATTCGCATATATAATTAGTTTGACGTAATACAGATGTCCTCCTTCACATTTTTAAAGTTTTTTTTAAAAAAAAGCTTATATCTCTCTTCCATCGGTGTCAAAGGTCGTTCTAATTTATTTTTTTATTATTAGGTATGTTATTTAAAACTTTAGGTATAAGTGATGTTTTATGGAACACATTTTTAAAATAATAATAAAATAAAGTACTTAGGGCTAATTTTCCAATAGTCAGATAAATGTTATATGAAGAATAAAATTGTTGCTGTCACTGTCGTAAGCAAACATTCTTACGCGACAGCATCATAATTATTCCACAGATAACTTTTATTTAACCATTGACAAATCAGGCCTTATAGGAAAAGACCTAACATCATTAATTTACTACTGGTAATGGCAATGACGTCACTCATCAAGTCAAGTCAAATAGGTAACAAATCTTATTTTCAAAAAATTGACGTCCAATCAGGAGCGGGTCTACTTAAGGGCTTTTTTTTGCTGCAGCCCTGAACCCCGTGGACATAAAGAATCCCCAGCCCTCTGTAACAACAACAGGCGATACCTTTTGCATTGGTGATTATAAAACTATAACATTTTGGAGCGAAATTTATTCAATAAAATATCTTTATGAGTAGGTAAGTGCTATGAACAATTTTATTCTTTTATAAGTTTTTTAGGATATAAAAAGTACATAACCTTCATAAATAACGTTTCTTGACTAATTTTTAGTTGGGCCCCAAAATGTTATAGATTTCGCCCAGGGTTCATCATCTAACACTTGGCAATGGCAATGCCTATTAAACCAAAAAATAAGGTTATATAAATAATAAAATATAATATTGGAATAAAATTAAAAAAAAAACACGTTTTTTCACAGCTTAATTTTAGTTAATATTAAGTATTATGAAAAATTTCCAAAATAATATTGTACACGTGTTCTGTTTTCAAATATTATAATATATATTGTAGTGAACTTGGTAAAATAATTTATGAGTGGCGATGCAAGGCATGGGAAAGCATTTGTGAACAATGGCTGCAAAATATTATAATCCCACACGTTATATTTCCTACTCCATTGATTATGGAAGCTAGCTTAGAAACGAACATGAGCACCTGGAGGTTATTTTATAATTTTAAACGAATGCGGAAACTATAAAGCTGTCAACACTATTATTAGTGCATCATCATCAACATTTTTTTCCATTTTAGGATTTAGGTGTTAAATTGCACTAAGCTCTGTCTTTATCTCTCCCTATCCAACTACCGCAAACTATCTTGCGGACTTGTAGATTTACGTAAATTGCGTTTTGACTGAATATTATTGACGCTTCTTTCTTTTTATCTGTGAAAAAATTATGTTGTAATCTATACTAAATAGCTTTTACCCGCGACTCCGTTAGCGTGGAAAAGTGACTTCCTGCAGATTTTTGGTATAAAAAACTATACTATGTCCTTTCTCGAGTTTAAAACTATGTTTGTACCAAATTTCACAGAAATCGGTTCAATAGTTTAGGCGTGAAGAAAAGACAGACAGAGTTACTTTCGCATTTATAATATTAGTATAGATATAGATATACTAATTACCTATTATACATTTGTAGAGCTTGTTTTTTATTTGAACGTGCTAATCTCCGGAACTTCTCGTTCGAATTGAACATTTATTTTTCTTCGGGTGAAACCGCGCTGAAGTAGCTAGTAAGAAGTTTAGGAGCTAAATGAAACTATGTGAACTTGGATACTAACTTGTAATCAGTGGTATCCACGACACAGGAGATACAACAAGTTAGCAGTCAATTTAAGAACAAAATTTGAATTGAAAGAACAAATTAACCCAAGAAAGAAGAACCTTAACAATATGAGCAAAAAAGCTCATGTCATCATCTTCCTTCCTCCCAATAATATCAACAGAAATCATTACCTTGTAACAGTAAAAATTACCATATTACAATACGGTAGTTAAATTAATATACTTATGTTCAACTAAGTTCAATGGTAATAATTTATGAATTAAAACATTTATCTTAATTATGTGTAAATGATGACCATTCAATTAAACCTACATCTAAAGATTATGCCGCGTCAGATTCGTATAAACAGTTACATTACTCAAGTTGATTGATGGTTGACGTTTTAATACATACATTGTTTACGCTTATAAATCTAAACCCTACACTTAGATAATCCCTGTTTTATACAACCAATATATTTATGATGCTACGCAATTATCAACCTAAGTAGATAAGACTCTAATCTAAAAAATATTAAATTACCTTAACATTGTCTACAATGTCAAGGAAATTTTGTTATTTTGATGTCTATATCGAAATATATTTTGTCAATTTTCCCTTCAGTCACAAGTTTGTCGTATACATATCTACTACTTATTAGTATTGAGTATTAAAATGGCTAATCCGCCCTGAGCAAGCGTGGTGATTAATGCTCAAACCTTCTCTGTGAAAAGAGGCCTTTGCTCAGCAGTGGGGCCTTATAGGCTGATGATGATGATTAGTATTTTACTAAGTTAGAAAGTTCCTCAGGAAAGAAAAGTCTAGCAGCACGCAATATTTAATTAGTAAGTAACGTAAGATTGAATTAAATAATTACAGGAATTTACATATTTTCTAGATCACGGTCATTGTTGTTGTAAAATTTAAACTGGCATATTTAGGTAAAGCATCAAAAGAAAGAATACAAGTGCCAACTGTATAAAACAAACTTGAAACTATTGGAAAACTCTCGTTTTTCTCACTTCTAAATCAATCTCACTTCTTCTCTATGATTTCTTAAGGTAGGTAAGTAGATAACAGAAGTAAGGTACAAGGTCACCCTAAAAACAATTAAAAAATGGAAAGTCTCTAGTACTATTCGTACTTAGTTTTAAAATAGAATTCTTTTCATAGTTTTAAAAGCGAATAGGAAAAGCAAAACTAATTTAAAGCAACGTCTGAATTTAAGTACTTGATGAGCTAAAACATTATACTAAAGCGTAATTGGCCATCAACTACCTATACATAGTTCAAACGTATCTTCTAACACCAAAAAAAAAAATATACAAATCTTACTTTAAAGATCCAGATCAAGCCTCAATCTATTTATAAACAACACAATACCAACAGAAAACCATTCAATATTGAATCTTATTGTAAGCTACATTTTATGCCATTACAGGTTTAAGTCACGTGAATAAAATCCGAAGACCTCATTAAATAGGTATAAGTTGAAAAACTGGATATTTAGGTGAATACCCTGAGTGTCGGATGAGAGACCATCCAATCAACCCTCACTGCGAAACTCGCTTTAAAAAAGTAACAAAAGCAAACGCAATTATAACTATCATTGTAAGTTATGGTATGTACGTTTAAAAACACAATATAGTAAATAACTAGTTAGTATCGCGTGGTCTCACCCGCAGCCTAAATTTATTTAAAGCCTTTCTCAATAAATGGACTGACAAAGTCAAAAATAATTATTCGATTCGAACCGGAGTTTAGCGCGTCCGTTTTAGGTTTATAATATTACTATACCTAGACATAATAAGCTCTATAATTTTTTTTAAATGGTTAAGTTGATCTTTGAGAGGTATTTTAATTTTGTATAGAGATTCTCTCTGGTGGTTTTCAAAAATTGATTTTTATAAATAAATGTATAGTTTTGTTACGCTTTGACCAAACAGCAGGTCAGCAAATGAGGAATCATCACCCGATGATAAACAATCGGCGCTGCCTATGCATTCACGCAAAACCAAACGAATCAAAAGTGTATTACCAGCCTAATTTTCTTTACCTATCATATTTAGAAATTAAAATTGCTCTAGTTATTTACATCTATTATATTATAAAGAGGTAAAATTTGTAAGTTTGTATGTTTGTAAGTTTGTATGTAGGGGGTAATCGTTGAAACCGCTGGTCGGATTGCCAAAATTCTTTCACTGATGACATGCTACAATGTTCCTGAGTGCTATAGGCTATAAAACATCACGCTACGATTAAATGGAGCCGAGCAGCGGCTGAAACCGCGCGAGAGTAGCTAGTATTAAATATTTAAATTTAGAATAGATTTAAATCTATTTCAAATTCAAAATATATATTATATTCATTAACGGCAACGTAATTTGTTTGATAATTAAAAAACCATAAAACTGATTACATTCAGGCGTCATGCATATTTTTAAGGCAAGTCATATTCCCGTTCTGTGATTTAAAAATGACGATTTATTTAATTCATACAAATGGCCTTAAGATGTGCCTTTTACTTACCGTTTCGAGTATAAAATGTTATATTGTATTACGAAATGTATTTTATCGCATTAAATGAAATCGATTAATTCCACTTATAAGGATATTTATAGAATAGTTTGAGTTATAGTTATAATATTCACACCGCACGGTGCCTGAATTTCAAGACGATTTGCTAAGGAAGAAGAGAATTTAAGACTATGGTTGCATCAAACAACGCAACCACCAGAATCGCATTTTAATGACACTTTCCATTAATTTAGAAAAAAAAACATTTAGACTAATTAAATGATCAGTTGACGTAACGAAGTGTTAATTACATGTTATAGTAATGTCGAGTATTTATTAATTATGTTACATTTTCCAGCATAACTTGTAGAATTGTGATACGTCACGTCTCATCGTACATAATATCTACGCATTTAATACATAACATCGATGTTGGTATCATTTCTATAGCTTAATTGTTACGCAATATTTGTTAATTTATTTCCGAATAATATCGCATTTATTTTAAAAGCTACTGATCTACGAATATAAATGCTGTTGGACTAGTACCGGAAATTGTCGTATTCAAATAAACTTGAGACAAGCGCCGCGTGCCGGTACGATAAAAATCACGCGTGATATTACATATTATGTTTCCTAATTATAATAATTTATTAAATAAGGCCTATGTCAAATAAGTATAACACGTTTCCGATGGCACTGGCCACACGATGCATTCAATGACATCCACCTGCGGTCACAGTTTAAAACATTGTACAACTTTTGCTTTCGTCTGCAAGGACAACTTTATTTACTTACTATCTACACATAATCAAGTCGTCTCGTAACAGGATTTCCACGTGTTAATTGAATACGAACGTGTAATGAAATCATCACTAGCCTTTTGTCTCGCCGAAGGATGTTTTAGAATAAACATAAAAATATTAATTTACTTAAATTTTTGACAATAATGACAAGGTAGGTAATTACTATGCACGATTTACTACATACGTCCATTCACCGGAACGGACACTATTGAGACGTCACTCTTATACGCTGAAACATTTGACTGAAAGCTATGAAAACAATAACGTACTTGTTGCGCGTTTGCCGTCAGGGATCAGCTTGAGGCTGTGCGGCTTCTGCAGCAGCTCCTGCAGCTCCGGCTGGGGTTCGAACGAATTGTTTCTGGACTTCATGTTTATATTTATTTACTTCACTTGCACAGGTGTCAATTATTTCATTACTATAAGCACTTTTGGATAATAATGATATTTGACAAAGTCGGCCGATGCTTCATCCGAGGGGCGGAGGCGCATGGCTCCGAGACGTGAAGTGTGCCGGGAGCGAGGGCGAGCTGCTATATAGCGCGGAGCTCGGTGGTGCGGGCAGAGACGCGAGGATACGAGCAGAGCCGCGCCGCGACTGAGCTGAGCGCACCCATCCGGTCAAGGGTATACTACACCTCGCGGACGCGGACCAACTGCCTAACGCCGACAGCCACGCTAGCCGCCAGCGGCGCCTTCAGTCTTGCATTGTTTATTGTTGTTGTTCACTTACTTGAGAAAAACACGTCAGTACTGTTGTTATTTACGTTTGTCGTGTACATAAATATATACATATGTATAATAATAATACGCATTTTGGTATAAAAAATCGTAGAATTTTAAACCAACAATAAATCGAGCCACCTACTCAATACGTTAAACGTTCAAAAGCTTTATAGCAACTACTCAAGTTATCGAAATAACTAATCTAACTACGAGGTTGGTCGTTGTTCCAAAGTGAGGCAGTAAAACATCTTTCGCAATTTGTGAACTGCATGGCAAGTGCTTAAACCTGTATATACAAACACAAAACATTGATACATACCTATAGTACCTACCTACAATCCTATGTACAATACGTACGTATGCATATAACAACTAGACACTAGTAGGGTATTGTAAAGGTTAATGACACCAAAAGTACCTAAAGGGCTTAAGGAAGTTGAGTTTCAAGTTTCTGAAAATAAAATTTAACAAACTTATTTATAGTAGATACTTTATTATGTAAATAGTAATTATGGCTTGATTGATTTATCAAGCCTAGTGCAAGAGATAAACAAAATATTTCGTAAACTATCTCGCTAACAACTAAAGGCTCTCCTTTTCCTAAGTTCCCCTTCTACTTTTCTAATATCTTCTTTGATAAAAAACAACAAAATAGAATCGGCAAAATTGGCATTGGCATTGACAACACCTTTTTTTATCTTTATTTTATAAATAGACAATGCATGTTGTTGAGATATGCGCTTACCAACATATTTTGCGATACATTGATCCACAAATTGTTGTGCCGGGTGGGATGTGTATGTGAAACTGAAAGTTTTTAAACGCATCCAGGACAGAAAAAAATCCTAGTGACAGTTTTTTTTTTAAAGAAAAGGAAGATAGTTTTTATAATGGTATATAGAATTTTCAAGTTTTGAATTGTTGTGTGGTAGCAATTGGCATTAAAGCTATTTAAACTATACTGAACTCCCTAAAAATGTAAATGAGTGCTAGTGTCTAGTAGCTACTGATAATGTGAACAAGTAATTTAACTCACATATTGCTAATAATCTGCAAACAGGTTTAAGTGACTACGAGCGTAATTTAAGAAGTAAGATAATGGCAACATGGTGCTGTCGCCTTCATAGTTTTTGTTTTGAGGAGGGAACATCTTCAAATTGCTTCTCTCGCTCAGAGTGAGGCAAGAGGGAGAGTCAGGCTCTTAACGACTTAAAACCACCCCGTTCCCTCTCCTGCTCCAGGCCGAAGCCTTATCTTATCGTGGTTGCCCCGGAACTCGGGTATAGGATACTTTTTTTTATTATTAAAAAAAACGTTGCCCCACACTACAATTTCCTACTGTATCGTGGGTGCGTTTACAAACATACAATTTCACATGCACATCACACCCAGACTCGGAACAACAATTTGTCGATCACACAAAGAGTTGTTCCATGCGGGAATCGAACACGCGACATGTTGTGCTGCAGCCAGTTGCCCAGCCACCACGCCAACCGTGCAGTCTTTAAAATGTAATGCAAAAGATACTACACGAACTTAAGGGTTCTCCTGCTCCGAGCTGGTGTCACGATACATATTTGCGCTTGCAAACCACACATGCAGTTTCGTAAACGGGTAACGAATATTGAAAAAAAGGTACCTATTCAAATAAAGAACGCAAATTAATTTATATTCTTTATGTACCTACATTAAATTTAAATCAAACTTCACATTATTTCTACAAAAATAAAAACAAAATCTTTTAAACATCGTGTTAAGCCTCTAAACTCTTGAAAGCAATCTGGTTTAGATCTCCTCAGAGTACTGATTGAGGCGATAATATGCTCATGAGTCATCGGGACGTGTCCACTGACTTGATCTACCTCGTTATTACATATCTTACGTTCCACTTTTATAAAATTACATAGTAACAAACAAAGGACTGAATTACTTGTCGTTGAAGCAGGTTTTGTTGTAGAAGACATAAGCATTATCTGTTAGAATTTCTCAATATAGTCTTATGGGTGTACGCCAAAATTAATACTCAGTGATAACATTCAATTAAGTACGTACTATATTAACTAAAAATAGCAGGTTACTCACGTGTATAAATTGATGCGCGGCGACGCAGCCTACTGCGCGACGTCGCCGCGTCCGCGCACGCTGCTCATGAGGAAGGCTCCCTCTGTGGTTCGAAACTAGTAGAGCTTTTCTCAATTTATACACGTGAGTAACCCGCGATTTTTAGTTAATTTAGTATGTCTCACGATAGTTATTATAAAAACAAGTATGTACTATATCTATGTACAAGCTTGTATGCTCTTCCTCCTGTGACTTCTGTTATTTAATGTGTACCGGACTAGACTATTGACTTGAATAACGTACTACGCAATTCTAACTTTTGTTTACACGTCTCAAACTATGCGACATCCATTTAATAGCCATCGGTACATTTATTTACACTTCGACGGGTATTAAATAAATGATTTAATTGACAATGTTATATCCTGCAGAGACCAATTGAACTGCCCCAGAGCTAAAATGAGAATCGATAATCGTTATCGGTTAAGAAACGAAATAAATGCATGGAGATTTCTAAAGGTCTTCATCGATAAGTCACGTGGTCAACTAATAGTTTACATGCCTATTCGTTTCGTTTCTAAAGTGATATCGATTATAGATGCAGAACTTGGCTAGTGTAGGCTAAACTGCTGAGGAAGAATTTCCCGCAATATGAGATTTCCGCACCTTAACGCGCACGTAAGAGACGGGACACCTAGGTTGGTTTGTCAGTAGGAATATGACCCTGCCACTGTCTCCTTCGTCTCCCCAAGAGACAGAGAGAGAGGGTAACATGAGGATTTTTCAACATAGGGAACAAAGGGTGGTGTCTGAATTGTCAAACTTACCTAAAACACCAGCTTGTTATTACAATAAATTAAATAGAATACACTAAAATGACGATATACACAGAAATGGAAAATCCCCACCCCATAGGAAATAAAACGAATCAGATTTGACCGTTACCACAAAATAACGCTTTCACTCACACAGACAAAAATGCTGTGTAAAGAAAAAATATGTCTATTCGTATCCAATAAGGAAGTAGCAAATAAAACCAAAATTAGCATATACATAAATAACTGTTGCATGAATCTTCGAGGATTGAGCGTCTGCCCACATGTTAGGGGAAATACCTACACTACGATGAACAACGTCAACTCCCACAGATTATGGTCATGTTAATTATACGATAAATTAAGAATTTCGAATATGAGAAAATATAAAAGTTTTTCCCCGAAGTTATAACAGATGCTGGATGCAGGTCAGTTCCAACCTAATCTGGAAGTCTTTATGGTAGAGTTCAAGAGTAGAAGTACATATTGTAGCTGATATGGTTATGACAATCTAAAAAATGGGTCATTACAGTGTTAACACTAAACTAACTAACTAAAACACAATCCAGCTCCAAGCTCTATATTTTTCCATGCTGAGTATAAAAAAAATGAGCTGTATTCTGTATAGCTTATTAGCATATGTTTTGCATTATTTGTCATTTCGGACGCTTTATAGTATTAGTTGTGTGATTTCTTCAAAGGAAGATTGAGTAGATAACTAAACATCCTTAAGGGAACTGTTGGTGGGACTTTACCTGGTCAAATTGAAACCAAGCACGTCTTCTTCATTTTTTATTAGGTATCTACATGTATATCTATGAGTTATGAGTTACCACTAGCATTCCGCCCGCTACTTTGGCCGCGTTATACAAGGAAAATGCTAAGCTATATCTCTCTCCTACAAAAATCGAATAACGAAATCGCTTTTTAAGGAATAGCAGGCGAATGAGCAGACAGACCTCCTGATGGTAAGTGATTTATGCCGCCCACGGACACCTGGAGCACCAGAGAAGTTACATGTGCGCTGCCGGCCTTTTAAGAAGGAGTACCTACGCTCCCTTCTTGAAGGCTTGGTTGCGATGACAAAAAAACACAAAGAATCAAATCTCTTTCTCTTTTATTTATTTATTTATTTATTTAAAACTTCATGCACAACCAAAAAAATTGTGCATAAAGCGGACTCAATGTAACGAGCATTCACTTCCAGCCTACCTTAAGGTGATTTTCGCTATTTTATTAAAAATATTATGATAGTTACTAGAGATAGGAAGGAAGAACGAATTTTATAGGATTGTTTTCTCGAGTCAACAAATTGTAACAGTTTTTTGTTATGATATAAAGTGTATAATATGTATAATTGTGTAAAGATAAAAGTTAAGAAAGTTTAAACTAGATAAACACATAAAAGAAAAGAAAAGATCATATAACAGAAACCTTTATCTATGAAATGAATTTCGGAATTCAAATATTGAACTTACAAAAAAGTATTCTAGATTGGAGATTTATTAGGATATTTTTAAGAAAAGTTATCAATACACACACGTAACTTATTTAAACAACAGTGTAAAGTCACTTTTAGAAATTGGTAATTCAAAATTAAGTGCATTGCACAAATATTAAAAAAACTATGTGCTATCTAAATTAACGTTTTATTAATTATAGGTATGTTATCATTAACTAAGAAAATCATAAGAGAGAGAGGAGACTGCCGTTCCTCGGTTTGGTCGTTCGGTAGAAGGTAAATAATCAAGATTGCTGACTGCTAGAATG